CCCCCCCGCCCCCAAAAAAAAGCTTAAACCAGTAACTTATTTAATGCAAAACCGCATTCAACAGAGCCTTAAACGAAGTTTTGTGTCCGTGCTTTCAGTTATTGTGTCTTTTGTAAACGGGGAGGAGAAGTAATAGTCACTGATGAAAGAGGAGGAAAAAACAACCTTTTTTTTTTTTTTCTTTTTTAATACCCATGACAGTTGATGAATCTGAGCTTCTCACTGTGCCAGATGGATGGAAAGAGCCAGCCTTCACAAGAGAAGATAATCCCAAAGGGCTGCTGGAAGAAAGCAGTTTTGCGACATTATTCCCAAAGTACAGAGAAGCGTACTTGAAAGAGTGCTGGCCGCTCGTCCAGAAAGCCTTGGGTGAACATGTATGTGTGCTTCCTGTCTGTGATACTATGTTTTATCTTTTGGGAGATACAGATGATAGTGAAGCTTTTAAAAATACTGCAACTTGCTTTTCTTATAGCATATTTGTATATATGTTTCTACTGTGCTTGCATTTAGTATTGGTAGCATCATTTTTTTATTGCATTGAATTTGGTGAAGGTCTGCGTAGCCAGACTTGCAGTTCTTTACAGATGGTGTCAGCAAAGTTCTGCAGCAGCAAGCATCTCCTCATCCAGATGCTGACAACTTTGTTGCTCCTGCATTCAAGGGAGGTGACATTCTGGGCCTTGTGATGCATCTATTGAGTCTTTTTTGTGTGTGAATTTCCTTAAGCTGGAAGTCACTTTAGGAAATTTGGAAACTGGATCTGCATTCAGTATGTAGCATTCTGTTAATAACCTTCTTACTGCCAAAGATCAGTTCTGAGGCTCTTATTTAGAGATTGAATCACAGTTTCTTTTTAAATGTTGCAGTATGTGAATGCAACGCTGGATCTAATTGAAGGAAGCATGACTGTCACTACAACTAAGAAGACTTTTGATCCGTATGCAATCATCAGGGCTAGAGATTTAATAAAACTTCTGGCAAGAAGTGTTCCATTTGAACAGGTCTGCATTAAATCCTGGAAGTTTGTATCAAGTTCTGTCATAATACTTGTGAAATAATACGTTTTAAAAAGGTGGGATTTTCAAGTGAATCAAGTAAATAAAATACTTTTTTGAAGTAACTCTATCCAAAATCGAAGTGAGAAGAATAAACTGCAGTATTTTCTTGACTCTTCTGAATATTACATTTGCCTGCTGCTTTTCTCTTTAGGCAGTTCGTATCCTTCAGGATGATGTTGCCTGCGACATCATTAAAATAGGCTCTCTGGTGAGGAAGAGAGACACTTTTATAAAAAGAAGAGGACGGCTTCTTGGGCCCAAAGGATCTACTCTGAAGGTATTCCCATAGGTGTAGTAACCAGAAAATTCTTAGACCCAAAGTTCTGTCAAGTCTTCAGTTTACACTTAATTTCTTTTTTTTTTTTTTTTTGTGTAGGCCCTGGAACTGTTAACAAACTGTTATATTATGGTGCAAGGCAACACTGTTTCAGCTCTTGGACCTTTTAGTGGGCTAAAAGAGGTAAGGGGAGGCAGATGAATGGTTTGTGTAGTGTACTTCTGTACTCAGCTAGAGAGCAGACAAGAGGCAAAATCTGGCAACGTCAGGAGTATCTCATGGACTTTTCAGCTGTGTGTTAGTAAGCTACATTCACATGAATGTCCATAGTCTTAGTGTCTTAGCTGCTGATTTTTGTGTAGACTTTGAGATCTTTCTGTCTTTGAAGTAAAAAGGTATTTGTGAAATACTGTTGGGTTTTTTTAGCAAGAATTTTTGTTATTTCAGAGAAGAGGTGTAAGAGTGAGAATACTGCAGAGTTAATGATATATAACCTTCTAAGGAACATCTAATATATTTTTAGTAACTATGTAGGAGAAGAATGCTTGTCAAAAGCAGGAGTTTCTCATGACACCATACAATCCACAGTAACATGAAAATATGAATGATTGTGGGGCATGCTGGAGTGTATTAGAAACGTGGCAGTGTTCTTGATATTTCTGAAGTGCTGTGCCTTCCACTTAGCCATGTTTGTTAGGTTTTTAAGTATACCTACTTCTGGGGGCCAGGGCGGGGAGAGGAAGCATAGTAATATACCTGGTATTTTAATTGATTAGAATATGAAATACTTGCTGAGTTTTTGGTGGTTTTTTTTTTTTTTTTTTATTAAACACAGGTTAGAAAAGTTGTTCTGGACACAATGAAGAATATACATCCCATATATAACATTAAGGTTAGCATGGTCCACTGTGCATCTTTATTTACAAGAAAGTGCCGTTTCTTCTCGGAGAGTTGTATGTCAATAATTTACATGTCTCTGTGTGGTAATCTATTTCTGTATTGTGGTGCTTTAAAAAAACCCTGACTTTGATAACCTCTATTTTATCAGGATGTAATTCCATAATTCATTACCAGTATCTGAGAAAACATCAAAGGAACAGTGTGCATAAACTTTCCTCTCTTCAATTGTTTGCTTGGTACTTGCTCATTTAAACTGAGGCGCCTTCTCCAGTGCATTCTGTCCCCGTTTTGAGACATATCTATCTTTCTGATTCTGCTGTTTGTAATTAAGCCCCTCTGCTCTTACTGAAGTGAGAGATGGAAGGTTTGGATATAGCATATTCACTGTAAGAAAGTTTAGTGAAACTTATAATTTGGAGCTCTTGGCTACTGCTGTAATACTATTTCTTTAATAACTTCTTTGTGACGTTCTAAATCTGCTGAAGACTTTGATGATCAAAAGGGAACTATCAAAAGATCCTGAATTGAGGTCACAAAGTTGGGAAAGATTTTTGCCTAAGTTCAAGCGGAAGAACTTGAAAAAACGCAAGGAGCCAAAGAAGAAAAATACTAAGAAGGAGTACACGCCGTTCCCACCTCCGCAGCCAGAAAGCCAGGTCAGCCAAAACTTTATTTGGTTGTGCAGGAATACAGCATGACTTGAAATCTTGTTCTTCTCCCAAGAATTTGGGAGGTGTTTTCTGTCAAGTTCTGATTTCTTGATGCTATACGTCTGGCTTATGCTGCATAATTACCTAAAACTTCTCGGTACTTGTCTTACGCAGATTGATAAAGAATTGGCAAGTGGTGAATACTTCTTGAAAGACAGGCAGAAGAAACGAAAGCGAGTGGAAGAAATAAAGGTAAAATTGTTCTAACCCCCTGTTCAGTTAAAAAGCATTTGACTGCTGCCTTGGATTTTTTTTTTGTCCCTTTTGCACTGCTCTACTGATACTTGACCTTTTTATTGGTAACTGTAGGCAAAGCAAGCAGATGCAATCAAGAAAAGACAAGAAGAAAGAAATAAAGCTTTTATCCCACCAAAGGAAAAGCCAGTTGTGAAAACAAAGAAAGGTAAGCATTTATTTTTTCCTGTTCTAAAACCTTTTGCTGTTGATTCCTAGGCAGACTGATTTTGCAAAGGTATGGCTGTAGGAAATAAGAAAGTTCATGCAAAAAAATCCTGATGGCTAAATCCATGCCTGGAGTTGCCAGGGACAGTAGAAAGATCATGCAGCCCCTAATTCTGTACCTATAAAATGACAGTCCTCTGTAGAATGATTTCCTGATGGAGATACTAAGACAGCCATCTCTATTGGTTGTTCTGGCTACATCAGTTTTTGGCTTTCAGTCTTGTAGTGAAGCTGCCATAACTTTTGCACTCAAATGACCTTTCTGTTAAGAAAGAAGAAGCTTCAGAGCAATACTTGGAAACTTATGCCACAAGTAAGTATTGGTATAAGATAGGGTAAAGAGCTGTTTTGAAAGTTGAAGTGAAACCACGCTATATGCAGAGTAAGAACTTGTTTTCTCAGACGATTTGTTTTTTATGCACTAGAGAAACAAGTCTTCTGTTTTCTTGGATTCATTGATTATACTACGTGTTCGTTCATTGTATTAGATAAACTATGTATGTTTTGTGTTAGGTATACTACCTACATACTATTACACTATATATTGCAGAGTTCATGTTTCTCAAAAAGCATGTGTCCTGCAGCATTGATACAGTACTTTTTTGTGATGGCAGTAAATTTATAATAATCCTGCTATTGACTGTACTGTATCTTAAATACTGTGCTTTTCTAGCTGCTTTGTGTTTTGACCTGAAATCCTTCAGTCTTCCAAGAATAAATGACAGCAATAGTTTGTTTGTAGAGAAGAACCGAGATCCAAGAAGGACAGCTGGTACCCACTGTGAGATGTAGGAATTAACTGTGAGATAGAAGAGTTTGATTCAAACTCATGACTCGTGCCCAAAAGAGAAAATACCATCACCTAGATGAACATAAGAGTAGGTTATTCAAATTGCTCAGCATTAAGTGTTATTTAAGTATTCTGGCACTCCCTGTAGGAGTCTCTTATAAAGGTCTTTGTTCAGGGATCAAATCAAAGATCTGTATCAGATCCCCTCAGCCCGCAAACAGTCCCTGTTTCCAACAGCAGTTGTTAACGGATGGCCAGGGAGAGAGTGTAAGGATGAGACAGGCCTGTTTGGGATCTTACCACCTTAGTTACATGCAGAAAGACAAAATCCCGTGAAAGCTTCTCCAGGTATAAGAACTCAATAATTAATTTCTTCTCTTATGTGAGACCAGCCAAGCCAATAGGCCTATGTCCAAGAGGGTGTGTATGTATTCATTCCGGAGGAGTACATCTGTGGTCTGAGGGAAGTGGGTGATAATAGTTTGTGTGTGTGCAGTGTCTGGTATCTGTGTTTAAATGCAGTTGTATAGGATTTTTATATGACTGTTCTCTTTTGAATTCTGCTGAAAGAGGTTTGTGGATATTACTAGTTTAAAAAAAAAACCGATTAGAATAGTTTATAAAATCATTAATAAACATAAAATTGGTCCTAACCAGTGCCACAGGATGCAGCTTACTGTGTTTACATATGAAATCATCTTGTAGACTGTTAAAACTTAGAAAAAGTAAAATTCATGTTTGTTATCTGTGTGTTTTTTACTACGTAGCTTCTACTGAGAAAAAAATTGATATTGAAGCCATCAAGGAGAAGGTAAAGAATGCAAAGAAGAAGAAATTAGGAGCACTTCCTGTGGAAGAAGTCAAGTTAAAAATGGCAGCAGATGAAAAGAAAAAAAAGAAAAAGAAGTAATTCACCAGTTGAGATGCTCACTTTTTTCCTATGTTAATGGACATTTTCACACTTGGAAGATTGGAGACTTCTTGCTGTCAGTGTAATATGGACAAGAAAAGACTAGGTAGAAAGTTCATTCTCTTTTCATAAGTACACTTTAATTAGTGGACCTGAAGCAGCTGTGCAAAATTGCCAGGGTTGGTGAAGAAAATCTGTGCTGCTGTGTTGTTTGAGAAGGTAAGAGAGTGTATTTGGACAATGTCCATCTGCCTAAAGGGAAGGTTTCGTAATAGAAACATTTAGGATTTTAATGCAGGATGTTAAACATTAGGGTCAGAGAACTCAGTGGGAGTTCAAGGTAATTTTTTTGTGAAAGACCACCAGACTATATGCAGCCTCAGTTACGGTGATAACTTTTGCAAAACGGGCAAGACTTACTACTATATTATGCTTTTGTTTCTGTAAAAGCTGGTAATTTTTGCATGTCTCGTTTTGGCGTTAATAAACTATTTTAATACATTGTTCTTAAATCCTTTAGTTAGTTATCTACTGCACAACTTACGTGTTGTTTTCCAGGAAACAAGCTCACACTTCATGTGACAATTAAAGAAACAATAATCTTAATTGAATGCCATTAATAAATTGACATTTATTAGCATTGTCCTAGAGCTTGTTAGGCAGAATGTGGTTCAAACCAAGTGTCTTTCCACCTGGAATGTGCTGCAGGGAAAGCATAAAGTCTTGTTACCTTTCTTTAAATATATTATTAATGTATTTCTTGCTTGCAGGAAAGTCTAAGAAACTGTATTCCTCTTTTTTTTTCTTTTTTGAGGCCCTTCCCCCTTTTTTAAAGGAAGTCTAGAGGTTTTTAGCGTCCTGCAAATTGTGACGAAATAAAGTTCACTGAAGAGCAGATGTTGCTTATTTTGTACATCTGAGATTAAAGGACCAAATGTAATGATTAGGAGGTGGTAGAGCCACACCGATTTCATGATTGTTTTGGAATGGTTTTGCCAGGTTTTGGAGTTTTGATCACCTGCATGTGCGGTGGAAATTATTGTGGTAGAACACTGCGACTTGCTGCTTTTAGGTTAGTGACTTTTTATTTGAAACTAGTAAGTGAAGACACAGCCACTTCCTTTTTTGCGTGTATAAGAGTATAGTATATATGTGGTTATATAGCCAAGTACGTGTGCGTTGCAAAATAGCTAAGATGCTTGCCCTTCAGGGCAGGGGACAACACTAACCTTAGCGTGCCTTTCAGTTCCGTGATCACTTCTTGGCACTTAATTGTTAAGGAAAAAACACTCTCAATCCTTTTCGGGACTGCATTGTTCATAAACAGCGGTTTAATTACTTGTGAAATCAATCAGGAAAATACTGCTTCAACAGATACTTCACTGAGAATATGATAGTAAGTCACAAACACCCATCTCGGAAACTGCAGTGACCTGATGGGTTTAGCGATGCCAGCACTATGAAAAGCTTTTTAGAAACACCAGCTGGTGTTCAGCAGTGTACAGGGGTGACCTGAGTTCCGTACCAGTCAGGTAGTTCAGACCTCTCATATAGTGAAAGGACTTACTTCAACAGGAGGCGCTGCAGTACATGAGTTTAGATGTCTGTTCTCACCGCGTGATCCCACGGATGAGCGCTTCAGTGGAAGCGTCAGCAGAGCTAGAAGCCAGTGAGGAGGAGCCTATTTTTGGAAAGAGCATGAGTGTGTTAGGGATGGGAGAGTCCTTGATTCTAGTCTCAACTGGATGAGGTCCCTTCCACCGCAGAGGACTGGCACAGGTGTTCCCCTGTTTGTTGTTTAAAAAATTAAAAACAAGTGCTGGGCTGGTTGCCCTGCCCTGGTCTTGCAGGCTGGCTTTTCACTTCAGGAACCTGATCTAGCTGAAAGCACCCTATGAAAAAGTGTTTTCCAGCTGCATCAGTTAACTGCCTGGTAGCCTGAGTTGCAGTACGGGAAAACATAGCTCAGCTTGGTGGCAGCTTGACCTTAAATTATATATACTTCCATTGTGCTTTTTTAATTTAGAACCCACAGCTGAGGCATCTGTGTAGCTTTTGCATCAAATCCCTTTCCATAGTAAAACTCTTAACAGACTTGAGGGAGTCTTGTCCTCCTGTTGTAATGGAGTAAAAAGGCTTCGCGTTGTGTTTAATCTTTTTCAGTTGTTACGGTTGACAGGTCTCAAGGATTGTTGGTTGGACATTTACTTACTTAAACTGGAAAATCAAGAAAGCTTACTCGTATTCCTGTAGGCAAGGTAAACCAAAGGATTTGACTGCCTAGAGTCCATATCTGAATGGTAACTGGCTGCGTGGGCGCTCACTGTTGGTGCTTTTTGCACCCGTTTTCTCAGAGAGCACGGCTATACAGTTCTAACACTTGTGTAAAAAGTAAAGAACAGAAAACAAAGTGGATTTGGAAGGGTGAAAAAGGTCTTTCGGTATTTTCAGAACAGCTTGAACTATTGCAGACTGTCTCCTTAAACTGATTTTAGAGTTTACAGACTTGCAAGAAAGTACCCAAAGGCTGTATTTATATTTCAGTGTTTTGCGTTTATCATATGGAATTCATGGGCATATGCCATAAGATAAATGTGGACAACTCAAAGCAGTTTGATCGTCAGGAGTTAAATATCTGGATTTTTGGATGTCCTTAAAATGAGATACAATACCTGTTTAGCTTTGACTTTTTCAGGCTTTTTTCCTTGAAAGATACCATGCTGTAAAGTTTCGGGGTGTTTTTCCTTAAGCCCCAGTGATTTACAGGGTTTTTAACAAAGCTTTTTCTGTGGCATTTCCTTAGAGCTGCTGAAGTATATAGTTAAATGACAGTGCTGTGAATGTTGTGAACTTTAAGGGCTCTGTGTTCATGCTGTTTACTCTCCTGGAGACCAAGCAGAGATTAAACTTAGCAGGGAAG